ATTTTTACTTAACAGACATGAAAGGTTTTTTTTTGCAAAATAAAAGGGTTTGGTAAACTTATAATATTTAAAAATTATGTTTTGTGTTTGATTTTGTTGCAGAATCCCTTAATTACATGAGTGGACTGAGATTTTTGCTCGGTATTAGAGAAAATAATGACGACAAACGTGCACACAGTCCACCTGATGGTAAGGATGCTGTGGCCCAGACATCTACATTTATCCACAATTAAGATTTAAAATGCATATGTTTTGTCACCCCTTAGGACTAAGATGGAATGCCTCGTTTCCAGTAAAAAAGGGTCTCTGGTTTCTACACACACCATACAAAACACAGTATTAGGCTGCTGCTTGACGCTGGTATACTGTGAGAGTGTGGTATTCTGACGAGCCAACACATTCTAAACGTAAATCTCTAAACGTAACATTTAAAATTATGTATGCGTAAAATATTTGAACATTATGATGTATTATTTTGCGGCATATGTCCTTAGTTTCTAGGAGAAAATTTAGCTCGGTGTTAGAACAAAAAAATACATAGTTTATTGACCAGGCTTAACTTATTTAGCGCCAGATTTATGGCGAAATATAATATTTGCTATCAAATTCCATACTTTACGTTTTAATTTGCATATTTTTTACAGGAGTTCATTATCGAAACCGTACTTTTTTATTGAAATATATGGACGGCGTAAGTTAATACTTCTATTTTCTCTCTAAGTAAAGACACTGGAGAAAATCTATATCTAATGCAACTGCCAAAGAAACCATACGAATGAATGTTTTTAATATTACCGCCGGTGCACCACCAAACAAAAAAAACAGTTTAAAAAAACCCCCAAAAATAAAGAAAACAAAGGGAAAGAGACCAATATTTTTGTTTAAAATCAATGAACCTAGGTACTGAAATGATTAAAATTGTCCAGTTCTATCTGTTCAGTGTATCTGTTTTTTTTTTAAAGAAATTGAAGTGTCAAACGCACTTACAGTTCACCGGACGGTAGATGGTTACTGCAACATAATAATAATGTCCTCCAGACCGAAGTTCGGTGACGGCGGCCAGCCTCAACGCAGACTAGTCATCGGTGCGGGTCAAGAAAATAGTGTCAGAGTGTATGCGCAAGCCCAGGTGCACTCTCTAATCCCTCACTCTCATAGTCCGATGGGACGGTAAACCGACACGACCAGAGAAAAATCAGGCGCAGGACCCACAGCTTTATGTGCTTTTGGAGGCAGAATTTCTTGCCGGAAAAACTTAATAGTTGATTTTTTGGCCTGACTCGGGATTCGAACACAGGACCTCATGATCAGTAGTCGCACTACTTCAACTACTAGACCAACGAGATAGTCAACTGTAACACATCTGCAGCCAACTTCAAATAAAGGTTACATCTGTTATTAAATGCATCTGCGTTTTAACATCTGACGACTAAAATGGAACACAACAGTCAGTAACATTGGCTCTTTATATTCTTCAGACCGAAACACAGCAGCGCATTGCTGTTTGGCCAGAGAAATAATTCAAAGAGTGGTACCCTCCCCAGCCGTGGTAGCTCAGGCGCTAAGCGTTCACTGTTAATTTCACAGTACGCGATTAACCCGGCTGCGATCACCGCCGGCAACAATGAAATCGTCAATTGCAATTTTAAATGATGTTGATGACGTGCTTGGCGTTGAAGGAAATCATCGTGGGGAAACCTGCATGCCTAAAAAATAAAAAAACATTTTGAAGAAATGTGCAGTCCACAAACACGCATTGGGTACAGCGCCGCGAACAATTACTTGCCCTAAAATCCTCTCAGAAATGAGAGGAGGCCTGTGCCCAGCAGTGGGACATATATAAGCTGTAACTTTAACTAACTCTAACCCCACCCAGTTAGGTTCCCAGACAGAAAAGGTAGCACTTAGTAAAGTACTGCCGTTATCAGACATCTAGCAAACAAATGCAACTAATTAAACTAACACGAAATATTAACCGTTCACGCCGGCCACTGTGACCGAAATAGGACTGAGGACATTATTATTAATATTATGCTGCTATTATTGCGTCGTATTTTGTGAGCGTGGTCCTTCCCCGGTTCAGCCAACCCATTTGTGCTGCAAGCACAACATCCATTTACCATCAGGTGAACTGTGTGCTCGTTTGTCACCCGTATTCTATAAAAAATATCGTAAGAAAACTATGCCCCACATTTCTACACAGATTAGGTCATTAGCGCTTTTTGAATATTGAAACAGTTTTAATATCGGGACAGACTGGGACCTACTTTTTCATTGTTCATTTGCAAAGAAGAAATAGGGGTCATTATGAATAACACGGACAAGTATACTCTGGAGTATTTATGCTCTGGAAAATTGTGTTGCAATTGTTATAACTCATAACGACCATTTAAGTATCGTAAGACCATTCAGTTATTCTTGTTATTGGATAGAGAATAGATTAGAATCATTTTAGTTCAAGCTAGATTACAAGAATACTTATTGAGAAAAACCTCTATACTGGGAAAAATTAGCAAGATACCATTAACTCTGAATAATTTGCTGATTTTGGAAAAAACAGGGCTGCAATACGACTTATTTTAGGATCTTATGAATAAAGAAAAGGCTTTGATATTTGAATTTTGAAAGATATCTTTCGGCGCGTTGTCCATGTCTGGTCAAATCTGTAAAATTCGTTTTTGTCAACAACACTTCTTTTTATGGAAGTCTTTGGTTAAAAGAGCATGAGATTCACATGGTGTTAAGAGATTCCTACTAATCTACTCAGGGACCTCCTGAGTATACTATTTTTTTCAAGGTCTCTGAATCATATGAGTCCAGAAAAACTCCTGGCGACAGTGAATTGAAGAGTGGTGTCGTTGCCGGAATTTTCTAGTAAAACGTCCAGTTTATCAGATTATCCATTATAAAGATGGTGAATGGCATTTAGAATTGTGTCTCGATGGGGAAATATTGCGACTGGAATTAATAAGAACTTATATTTTATTGTGCTAACCAATTTTTTTTTTGAAAATTTTCAAAACCGTTAAAAATTACAGTTCTTAAATACAATTAACTTAAAGTTAAAAACGGACTAAACTACTCGTATTCTAGGGTAATTTCTTTGATACGAAAATTTTAAAGGATTCGATATAACTTTTCGATAACATTCGATGTTGGTGGTATACAATTGTATATTCAGACAAGGTTGCATAAAAATATCATATTTTAGACACGATTTTGACGATTTAAAAAAATTCTTGAAAAAAAAATTGTGAATGTATGAAAAAATTACTCAATTGTATTATTTATCGAATAGATTTTTGAAATAATTTATATTAATCGATATTAAAAAAGTTATAATTTAATCGCAGGGAAAAATCTTCGACATTCGAGTACTCGTTTTTTCAAGCGATACCCTTAAAATAACTAATATAATTTTTCGATACTATGGAAGGTATTTTATTGAATTTGATTTTTTATCGGCTACATTTTTATTTAGATCCCCTTTTCCTGATAATGAGCTAAAACGTATCAAATTTAGTAACTTTTGGTTCACCAAATGTCGCACGTTGTCGCAGCAAAGGAGCGCTAAAAGTCTTTTAACCTGGGAAACTTAGGAAATCCTCGCCTTAATATTCGTCAGCGATTTTCTACATAAGTTTATGTTCTGTAATGTTTAATATGAAGCTGTTCTATAGGATAACATGAACAATAATAGGGGCCTTAATATCAATAGCAGTTTAACCCACAATATTTTTTTATAGGATAAAGGTGACTAACGAGCACACAGTCCACCTGATGGTAAGTGTTTGCTGTGACCCTCAATCCTCGATTACGAATCAAAATGCAGATGCGTTGTCACCCGTGAGGGATAAGATGGAATGCCTCGTTTCCAGTAAAAAGGGTCTCCGGTTGCCTACACTTAACATACGAAACACAGTAGCGTTAAGCTGCTATTTTACGTTGGTATTCTGTGAAAGCGTGGTCCTTTCTCGGTCGAGCCGACCCAGAGCTACAACGATACCAGTAATATAGCTGCAGCATGGCTCTAACACGAAAAAAAAACTATTTTTGTAAATTATTTCGTAATTTCGATAATGGCACTGGTATAATATTAATTATTAATTGGTTGACCTTACTGGTATAAAGTTTAAGCGGCCAACAAGGGGCAGTTAAACTGTAATTTAAAATTTATCTTTGATAATACGCAGAATAAAAGACGGTTGATATTACAGGCCCAAATGAGACATGAAATTTATATGGATTTAATAACGTAATAGTAGTATAAACTACTTTTTTTTCTTTTTAAAAAAAAAAAAACGTTACCCCTACACTAGGATTTTCTCCTGTATCGCGGGGGCAGTTTAAAAACATAGATTGCACAAGGACAAACATCCAGACCCGGAACAATTATTTATAGGCCATACAAATACTTGTTCCGTGCGGGATTCGAATCCGCGACCCCCAGCGCAGCCGCTCATTGCTAAGCCACTGCGCCACGGAGACATCATAACGTCACTTTGATTTAAGGGTTAGTAGTCGGAAATAAATGTAGACTATACTTCATCACATGTCAAATAGATTTACGTCTTAAGATCCTATTAAACCTTCTTCTTTTTCTTCATTAGCCTGTAGAGATCCGCTGTTGGATATAACTCTTTCTGTTCTAGAGGGGACTTGTCTTTCTCCCTTCTCTTTCTCACGTTATACGGGGTGGAGACATGCAGATATATTATAGATGTAGCACGAATAGATCGGTCCGGCCGGGGAGGGACCACGCTCTCACACAATACCAGCGTGAAATAGCAGCTTAATGCTTCTGTATTTCGTATGGTGAGCGTAGTGAACGGGAGAATCTCTTAACTGGAAACGAGGCATTCTATCGTAGACCTCAGGAGTGACAACTGATCTGCATTTTTATTTTTAATCCAGGATAGGTGGACTGCGCGGTGATGTCAAATTCCGATACGCCGGCTGAAAGAAGTATTTAGGTATATAGGAAAGTTAGAGGTACTTACTGATAAAGTCCTTGATGGCTTGGGAGCCGGAGTCGAGTATGTCTGTAGGGTTGACCCTGATCTTGCAGTGCTTGACGAACGGCATCTCTGGGAGCTTGATCCACTCGCCGCCGCCGCCGGTCGAGCAGTGAATGTCGATGGAGATGGAGTTCTCGTAGGCGCGGATCACGCGCTGTACCTCATTCTCTTGGTAGGCGTCAGTAAAGTCGGCTAGGGAGAATGTCCCGTCCTATAACAACAATTGTTTATTAGTTTTGTCAAAGCTAAGAACCCCAGTAATTCGTCAGGGTAAATATCACCTTCTCATCTGTTTCTGATCTCATAGGCACCAATGAAATTGTTAACTGTAATTTTATGTGCTGATTTAACACGGGCTTTGCGGTGAAGGAAAACATCGTGAGGAAATCTGTATTTGCGAAATTAAAAAATAAAGTCCGCCAACACGCATTGGGACAGGGGGCTTTTCTTTTGCCCAGCGGTGGGACGTATATGGGCTGACCTTTATATTTTTTTACTATTTTAAGTGGCTTGTTGTTTTATTGTATTTGTGTATTTCGTTCACATAACAATTCCGCAGATTTATTAACTTTTCAAATACATATTTCAATTTTAATAACATTTTTTTAACGTGGTAAGCTGCGGCTCTGATATGGTTGTAGCACGAATGTGTCGCCTCCACCGAGAAAATACCACGCTTTCACAGAGTACCAGCGTGAAACAGCAGCTTAATACTGCTGTGTTTCGTATGGTGAGTGTAGAGAACCGGAGACCCTTTTTACTGGAAACGAGGCATTCTATCCTAGCCCTCAGGGATGACAAAGAATATGATTTTTCAAATTTATCTAAATTGAGGATAGTATTAGGTGTCTTTGAGCCACAGAATCCACTTACCGTCAGGTATATAGTGTGCTCGATTTTCACCCCTATTTCATAAAAAAAAAATTATATTCTTCTTCTTCGTCATCGTCAGCAGGTAAAAATATATTGCTGGACTCTGCCTCTCCCGTTGTAATCCCTCTGTATCGGAAACCATAAAGTTTTTCCGTGTGGCGAAGTCAAAAACCCTGTATACTAGTTCCGTGGGTGTCGTAAGAGACTGACAGAATATTAATAAAAAATAAATAAATAAATCCCCCGTGACCATGGGTGCTGGAAAGCATACGAAACGTCGGGAATTAAAAATAAAAATAATTAAAAGTAAAATTAAACGCGAAAAAATCCGTAAAAGTAGTTTTAATCAATGTGTAGTGTTCGCGTAAATATAAGAAATCATTAAGGCGACACCGTGAAAAAATGCACCTCCTTTCATCGAATAGTATAGGACTATGACACCACTAACGAAAGTGGGATTTTGATATAGGTAAATTCATGTCTTTATCTTGAATTTGATTGCTCAAAAACACGATTGTATAATTTTGACTCGATCATAATTATTTGCGAAAACACCTCTAAAAAATCACTATAGTTGAAATTACAACGAAATCATTTGATCTATATGCTTGGAAATCACTCAAATATATTCATAACATCAATATTCATAATTTACTTGCTCATTATTTTGATAACTTAAATCAATATTTTTTTTTAAAATATTTTAAGATTCTGAAAATTTTTAAACGCTTTTAATCGTCGCGGGCGCTACGCAATTTTAGACCTTATGACGGCGTTTCTTCAAGTTTCTATAGAAATTATGTATTCACTCGGATCAGTATGGCGATAGCGGTTTCGATGTCGTCTTAAATAATAAATTCTTTATTTGCCTCAAATAAAATTCTAACCTGTCAATTTGTATTTATCGTTTAAGTTTAATTTCCTACACTGTTGAAGATCGTTCGATGCGGAAATTAAAGCGAAGCTAGCCAAGAGATTAAATGTATGATGTTATGTTGAATTTTCGAGAGTTAAATTTGGTAAACTATTTATTCATCTGTGGTTAAATAACGTTTCCCGACCTAACCAGTAGAAGAGTGAGGATATAAAGAGTGCACCTATGTTTGCGCGTACATCCTTGCACTATAATCGCGTCCTGCGCTGATGGCGAGTCTTAGTTGAGTGTGGCCGACATTATTATTATTTTAATAAAAATATTGAATATAGTTAAAGTTTTTGCAGATATCTTAAAAATTACCATTGTATCGTATTTATTGACAAATAGAAATTGTAATTTAGAATTATCCACGCACTTAAACGGAGCATTTTCTAGTCTGGTTGTTTCTCCTTAAATATAAGATGGGCTTCTGCCGAGTTTCCCGATTAAATTGGCTGAAAACGAACGGGAATGCGGTTACGGAAATAAGAAGAGTTTAAACTCTGCGTTTTACAGTCGGGATTTACTCTGAATATGCATAATACATTTTATATGTTAATCTGTTACTCGATGGTAGGGAATTTATTGGTATCTGCCTGAATCTTGATATAAAATATGCAAATATAAATTATAATTGCAAGGCCCCGTTTCCAGTGGGGTATCAATATCGTCATAGGGGGGGCCTTGTCGAACGCCAACGCCTAATCGATTAGGTCCACAGAACACGGAATAAGACACTTTCTATGATTAGGTTTCTGTTTTCTATGATTAGGTCCATACCTGCATAATCCAGGAGCCGTTCCCGGCGAACGTGTAGCCGGCGTGCACGAGGTGCCTGTGTCGTGTGAAGGAGCTGAGCAAGTTGCGCATGCACTGCATCAGCGTGTTCATCTGAGGATGGATCAGGATCTCCGTCACCAGGTTCTCCGATGCGTATTGTATAAGTCGTTCTCCTGGAAAAGAAATCATTTATTAGCGTATTGTATAGCGTTGAGTAGTTTTTAGTAGTTGGTAGTGGCATAGTAGTTAGGATTTCTATGGCGTGGATGGCACCATTTCGTGGGTGTAGTTAGAGACGACTGTGAAATTTCTATTGTTTAAGGTATGAACATCTTTATTCTTATCAAAGCTATTCATGTTCTTATGTGCGAGTATTACATTTTTTAAGAATATTGCGATGCCAAAGTTAATATGTTTATTTCTTTGAATTTTTCTCTGAAGGACTCTTTACAATTTGAGTCATAAATCTCCCGTACGGACCTCTTTTGCGGAACATCTTATGATTTCCTATAGATGGCGGTATAGGTAACCATTAAATTACAATAAACAAACTGTACTATATATTGATTTAGATTTTAGATTAGTAATTACCGCGCCAAAACGTTGCCACTGCACATATGGTCACAGCCATATGCCTAGCTAACGTCAGTTCAGTGTTTAATGTGACGCCGACAGAGTTGAGCCGAATGATCCGCGACAAAAAATGGGTTGCGTAGTGAAAGAATGAGATTCAGGGTCACAAAAACATAATAAATCAAGCGGAATCATTTTCCACACATACGTTTTAGTTCATGTTTTCATACAAATGTAAAAACCTCGAATAATTAAATAAAATTATTGAATATTGCGATTTAGGTTAAATGTTGCCACTTTTCCGCCTTTGTGATTATCCCACATTAAAGGGAGATTACATACTTAATGGAGTAAGTTAATTTGTTACCTCTGATTTAAAATATTTTGGAAATTAAAAGAAAAACTACGTTTTAACTTTTATACGAAATAATAAATTATTCTTATTTTAGTTTATTTATTAATGATCTATTAAATATATTTTATTACCTATTTTATATAATAATAATTTTATTTTAATTATAATTTTGTTTTATATAAATTTTATATAAATTATAGTTTATTACCTTTTTATATTGTTTGATTTATTAGAACAATAAATATACTTATAAAAATATGTTTTTTTTTCATCAGTTATACTAACTTCTATTCACCTGATAAGAAAATATACTTTTTTTTAATATAATAAAAATAACTGCGGCTTAAAAAACTCATTTTTATTGCGTATTTTGGATTAAATTTCATACAGTAAGCCACACCAACCCACCATTGCATGTTTGGTGTGTTTATCTTTATAATGCGCGGTAATGTGGTTTACTCCCCTAGTTTTGTATAACTCAGTATAACACAATGGTACTATGTACAAGAAAAGACACCGCGAACAAAATCTTAGTGACTGTGCAGGGCGAATGGAATTGGGTGGTGGTCGATATGTGCGTTTGCCCTCTTTTCCATTAAAAAAGTACTTCTGTGCCTTTTTTTGAGGCACAGAGTACCTTTTTGTGACAAAGACATAGAACCGATCGAATCAAACGTCAAAATTATTGTATATATTAATTATATAATAGGTTATTGATACACACACACACTGTCATTCACCCACAGAGATCATCTCAGGATTCGGTGTTGGCACTGTCTAACCATAAAATATATTGAATTTATCAATATTGGACAACTAAAAATGGATTAAGATCGAATATTCGGTTCGGGCGTAAGTTTGAGATTGCTGGTTTAAACACATGTTGCAAACAAGTCTCGTAAACCAAGGGCAGAATCTGAATGACATGGTGAGAAAATGTGTGATAATAGGAAAGTGTGGTTTGCGAGATGATATTGTGACCAGGCTTAAAAAAGGTGCTTCGGTGGTTTGGTCAGGTATAAAAATGAACGGGGAAAGAGTAACCCAAGCCTTCGACAGACAGCGGCGTAAATGTTTTCCTCAATAGAACATTCTCGCAGTCTAAAGCTGACTTAAAAGTATTTGGCTGGACGTATGACCTAGCAGCGCACTTTTAGGTAAATGTGACAAACGAGCACACAGTCATTCTTTATGTAGATGCTACGACCCATAAACATCTACACATAATACATAAAAAATATGTAATTTATTTGCATGTATACCTATAAAATATTTGTGCACTACCGTACTACGAGTGCACACCGTATAAAAATATAAATGGGCCATTAGACATAATTAATACATAAACTTAAATAAATGAACTTGAATTTGAATGTCCTCCAGACCCAATTTCGGTCACGGCGGCCAACTTCAACGGAGACTAGCCATCGGCGCAGTACAGGATTATAGTGCCCAAGTGTATGCGCAAGCACAGGTGCACTCTCTATTCTCTCACTCTTATAATCCGATGGGACGGTAAACTGATACTACTGGAGAGAGATCAGGCGCAAGACCAAAGGCTTTACGTGCTTTCAGAGGCACGGGGGGTGAGATACCGTCAACTTTCTAACTCCGGGCAGCTACTGAGAATTTCTTGACGGAAAAACTCAATAATTTATTTTTTGGCCCGGCCCGGGATTGAACCCGGGACCTCATCATCAGCAGTCGCACTACTACAATCACTAGACCAACGAGGCTGTCACATTTAAAATACATATGCGTTATCAGAGTTATCACCCCTGAGGACTAAGATAGAATATGCTTTATTTCGGTAAAAGGGTAAAAGGTAATAAAATGGTCCTCGGTTATCTTCACTCCCCATATGAAATAGCAGCATTAAACTGCTGTTCTACACTGATATTATGTGAGAGCGCGTTTCTACCTCGGTCGTGTCGACCCATTCGTGCAGCAACAATTATACCACGTTAAAATATATCTATGTGTGGGGAGCCAACCCGTTCATCATGCCTTACAACCTACAAAAATTCATTACTGTACACCCTCATAGCCCATCTCCTGTTTCAGTTTCTATCTGTCACTTACGACAACGGACAAAACCCAAGACAAAATTTAGTATTGTATAATTTTACACTGCCACTACATAGTAAAACAAACAATAAAATACTTGTATAAAAATATGCAGTAAGAAAAGTTATGCCAACAAAAAAAATTTCAGTCCTTAAATAAGAAGAGAGCAACCAAATCCCAATTATCGTTACATCGCGTATTCGGCACTTGTCACCGGCAGCCCGGGCTGAATATAACAGGCCTGACCTTGACGGGAGGTGCCAACTAGTCTAATGGCCAGAGCGAAGGGTGCGAAATCTCCCCTTTGTCTGAACGTTCGAGGGCTGTTTTATCATAAGAGGTTATTTTGTGAGGCTCCATTGTGTAAACGCTGTTGTTTCGGTCGCAGAATATTAAATTTAAATAAATAACGCTAGACATGAGCCGTTGTAGCGCAAGGGATGAGCTCTCGCCGTAAATCTCAAAGTAAGCGTCAAAATATTATAAAACAACAATGTTCTTTTATGTTCGATTTGTCATATAACCACTGTTTGTATATCATAAGTTTTCCGTTATTGTATTAATTTTGTTTTTTTATTTTCAAATGCAATAAAGAGACCTATCTTTATATCGCGATCAACCAGGGTTCGGTTCCAATTTAAGCGAGGCAGAAGCTCGACAACTTTGTAAAATATTTTTATAAAATACCGATTAAATGAAACTAGATACTTTTACGGATTTTACCGCGTTTAATTTATTTTTATCTTTGTTTCGCCTTATGATTTAAAGCTATGGACATCATTTATTTTGTCAAAGGTATTTAAATAGTTTCTTACATTATAATTCGTATTATTCAAAATGAATTGTGATACAGCTAAGATATTACTTCGTTTAAAACGTCACTGAGTGAGTCGTTTTGTATGTAATGGTTTCTTATATTCGCTCAAATACTTGTAGTATTTGCATAAATATGAAACTAACCGCACAGTTGGTGATCAAGATGCTGTAATCTCGTTCTGCATAGATCGGACAAAAATTAATATTCAAAAGCTGAAGTTAGCCGGGCTTACAATGACATCCGAACTTCAAACATTTACAACAACTTTTATTCTTCTCTTTTTATATTAGAGTAGCCCCCGTGGCCGTGGGTGCTGTAAAGCACTTGAAACGTCGAACGGGAATTAAAAAAGTTAAAATTAAACGCGATAAAATTAGTTTCATTTATGGTATTATGTACTTATATAAAATAACCGATCGAAAGCTGATATTGCGTTCGACGTAAAATCTCCGCATTGCGCCAAAATCCGTCGACTTTGCCAATGTCGGCCATTATTTGTCCCGCTCGCGCCATTGTCTGCCATTCTGTCGCCGCCATTGCCACGTTATCGGTGACCTTTTGCCATTACGTTGAAGCTTGACTTAATCACTTCAGTTGAATGGATTTAATTGTAATATCCTTTTAGATAACCATTGTTGGAAGTTGTACTCTGTTGTAGATATTGCACTGTCGAATAAAATAAGGAATGTCTATCCATCTACTGTCCAAACTGCAATTATTCACTTGTAAATAATACTTGCCTCCAACTTCTATTACGTGGTAGAGCCATGCTGCAGTTATATTAGTAGTATAGTTGTAGCACGAATGGGTCGGCTCGACCGGGGAAGGACCACGCTCTCACAGAATACCAGCGTGAAATAGTAGCTTAATGCTGCTGTGTTTCGTATGGTGGGTGTAGAGAACCGGAGGCTCCTTTTACTGGAAATACGGCATTCCATCTTAGTTCTCACGGGTGAGAACGCATCTGCATTTTGATTCGTAATCGAGGATAGCAGTAGATGTCTATGGGCCACAGCAACCACTTACCATCAGGTGGACTCTGTGCTAGTATGTCACCCTATCCTATATATAAAAAAATTCAAACTAAGAACTAAGATGGAATACCTCACAGCCTGCAGTTATACTGGCTCTCTACTAGATGAATTTTTTACCTTCTGGAAAAAAATAGAGCGTAACAGGTAAATGGAGTAGAAGCTTGTGGCACTAATATTTTACAATTTATTTTTTATTTTACATGAACGTATTATGAAATTGTTCTATCAATAAGTACTTCTAATTGGGTATTATTATTTTAATTTCGATAGTTTTTAATTGATTTTTTTATTTAGTCATCAAAATCGGTTCACCTAGAAAAATGTTCT